GGCCGGGAGCTCGTGCTGGGGCTGTGGAGCTCCCGCCGGAGGGAGCCCTCGGCGCCCGCGGCATCCCGTGAGGCTGCTCCCCCGAAGGGCGACGCTGCAGCTTCTGTGCCTCTGTGGGGAGGGCTGCCTGTCGGAACCACCGCAGGTGGATGGGTGGGAGAGGGAGGGCACTTAGCAGTGCGTTCGTTTCGTGCAGGGTATGGCAGTTCGGTTTGTCTTTGCTGGTGTGCTGTGAGGAGAGAAGAAAAATGAGGTGTGAGGGGTTTGTGGTTGGGATTTGTTGGGTGATTGGTTGGTTGTTTTCTTCACAGTATGCTAACCTTCCTCTGGAAGGAGCAGGGATAAAGTGTATTACTGAAACAGAGGTGCTATTAACATCTTGCACTTCTGCATTGCTTTAGAATAATTGGTTTTCAGTCATATATTTGATGGTTTAATGGGAAAAAAAATGGGTTGGAACTAGACGATCTTTAAGGCCCCTTCCAACCTAAGCTCTTCCACAAAACAAGGTGTTTTGACATGCAAAGCTTTCCCAAATCCTACAATCAAGACTGAGTGAAAAAAACAAAACTAGGCCCAAGCTTTCTCTTTTCTCCCATGGTTAATTCAGCACTTTGTATACAGTGTACAATGAAACCCAAGTCTTGTTATGTCACATCCCATATTTTGAAGTAACTTCAACTGGTTATTTCTGCATATGTAGGTTGCTGTAATGGCAATAGTAAATGTAGTCTTGTCTTTCATTTTCCACATTATTCATTTGATTTTTTTGAACCTGAAAATTACACACAAAAATCTACCTTTCTATCTAAGTTTTATCTTAATCATGTTTTTAATGTGCTGAAAATAATAGCTGAAATGCTGTTACATATTGACTGACAAGCATGATTATGAAAGCTGGAGAACATCCACTGCTACTGAGAAAAGTATTTCTAGTCAGATAATACCCACACAATGGTATTGATACCAGGAAATAAAGGGTTAACATTGTGCCTGCTTACTTAAGCAGTCGCTGTGCTTGGTGAAGCAGAACCATAGGAGTCAAAGTTGGTAGAATGGTGAAGCAGAATTGTAGGAGTTACAGCTGATAGGCAGAATTGTAGTAGATAAGATTCATAGCTTAAGACATTCTTGTTTAAATAGTATCTTTAGAAAGAAAAGGAACAAAAGATAGCCAGAGTAACAAAATTTGCAAACTTGACAAGTTTCTGCTTTAAGATACACAAAACTGGCTTGTACCGAACCTGAGGTTTGGATAGGAGCTGAAACCCTGTTGAGTCTGCGTGAAAGCAAGAGGTTTCTCGTGGTGATGAAGAGGAACTACAGGCCTTCATTCTCATGACCCCCTAACGACCACCACCAGGAGGCACTGCGCAGGCGCGCCAATGGGATGAATGCCAGAAAACTAATTATAATACCAGACGGGAATAGGTTTTGCATCTGTATTAGGTGTGAAGCAATCTCATGTTTAGGTAATCATTATATGTAATAGAAACAAACTGAGTGGCAAAGGAAAGGTGTGCATGCTTTTGGAGGAGCAATCCCCATGCACCTCAGCGCTGAATAAAAGCATACGTACTTTACAACTCTAACGAGTTGTGGAGTCTATCTGCCTATCAGCATAATATTACCTTTCCTGCAAAGGTCTTCAAATTTCACAGAATCGCAGAATCCTAAGGGTTGGAAGGGACCTCAAAAAATCATCTAGTCCAACCCTCCTGCAAGAGCAGGGTAACCTAGAGTATATCACACAGGAACTTGTCCAGGCGGGCCTTGAATATCCCCAGTGTAGGAGACTCCACAACCCCCCTGGGCAACCTGTTCCAGTGATCTGTCACTCTCACAGCAAAGAAATTTTTCCTGATGTTCACATGGAACCTCCTATGCTCCAGTTTACACCCATTGCCCCTTGTCCTATCACTGGACATCACTGAAAAAAAACTAGCTCCATCATCCTGACACTCACCCTTTACATATTTGTAAACATTGATGAGGTCACCCCTCAGTCTCCTCCAAGCTAAAGAGTCCCAGCTCCCTCAGCCTCTCCTCATAAGAGAGATGTTCCATTCCCTTAATCATCTTTGTAGCTCTGCGCTGGACTCTTTCAAGCAATTCCCTGTCCTTCTTGAACTGTGGGGCCCAGAACTGGACACAATATTCCAGATGCGGCCTCACCAAGGCAGAGTAAAGGGGGAGGAGAACCTCTCTTGACCTACTAACCACACCCTTTCTAATGCACCCTAGGATGCCATTGGCCTTCTTGGCCACAAGGGCACGTTGTTGGCTCGTGGTCATCCTCCTATCCACCAGGACCCCCAGGTCCCTTTCCCCTTCACTACTGTCCAGCAGGTCAGCCCCCAACCTGTACCGGTCGCACACAGACTTCTAAGTCCTCCTGTTTATTCCCCATGCTGCGTGCATTGGTGTACAGGCATTTCAGGGAGTGAGCTGAGCACGCTAGTGGCACCCTTGGAAGGCGGGAGGCCTTCTGGTCTTCATTCATACTAGAACATTGCCCCACTAGTTCAAACCCAGCTACAACCCCCTCGCACTTTGAATCTAACCTAGAGCTCTGTAAGTGAGCTCTGCTAACTCTTGCCCAGGTACCCTTTTTCCCCTGCAGGACAGGGTTTAAACAACTATTCTTTCCCTCAAATGAAACAGTAGAGTAAGAGTCCTCCCTAGTCTGCCATTCTTCAAGCCTAGCATGTTTCTCTCGGGCTTGTCCCCAGCAGGCCCAGTTATCTCCCCTTCCCCCTTCCTACCTAGTTTAAAGCCCTGTCAATGAGCCCTGCTAACTCCTGCCCCAGAAACCTTCTTCCCCTCTGGGACTGATGTATCCCACCTGCCACCAGCAAACCAGGTGTCTCATATAGCAGCCTATGATTGAAAAACCCAAACCCCTGCCTTTGGCACCAGTCCCGTAGCCATATATTGATCTGCAGTCTCTTCCTATTTATCTCTTCACCTTTGCTTGTAACAGGTATGGAGGCAAACACCACTTGTGCTCCAGACCCTCTAACCAGCTGTCCCAGGGCCCTGAAGTCTCTTTTCATTGCCCTTGCCCTGTTTGTAATAATTTCATCACTGCCAACCTGAAAAACCAGCAGCGGATAGTAGTCAGAGGGCTGCACCAGATCAGAGAGTTTCCTTTTAACATCTCCTATCCGAGCCCCAGGTAGGCAGCAGACTTCCCTGTGGGATGGATCAGGTCGACAAATGGGCCTTCTGTTCCCCTCAGAAGGGAGTCACCCACCTAAAATTTGTTTAACTTAATAATATTTGGCCAAACATGTTTGACTTAACCTAGTCATAGTTTGGTTGTTTTGTGTTTTTTTTTTTAATGTGGTTTTTGTTTGAGGGTTGTTTTGGTTAGTTGATGGTTTGGGGATTTTTTTGTTTTTTTTGGGGGGGAGGGGGCAGGCAGGCAAATATTTTTTCTTGGGGAAGTGAAAGAACACTAGGATGCTATAGAAGTTTTTCCATTTAGAAAAACTGTAGAATCTGGAACATTCTGTGTTGTCTAAGCAGTGACTATGTACTTTGTGTGCTGCTTTTCCATCTGGGTTAGCTGATGCTGGTGTTAACTAATTAACCGGTGTGGTGCTCTGACATGAGTTTGTGTGTGGTAGGGGCGCAAAAAGGTGTTAATTAAAAGTGCTTATGAAAATAATTGAGATACCTTGCCTAGCTTTAGTAAAACATTTAGCCCAGACTGCAATATTAAAGCTGTGACTTAAAGCCTACTAGGTTGCGGTTGTTTTGCGCTAAGTACTCTACCCATATTAAACAATTTACAATCTGAAAGACACTGTGAAAACTGAAGTAAGCTGCTTCTTGCACAGACTGCTCTGTGTATGTATTCACAGACTTAACAAAATAAGTATGGAAAATGATGGCCGTTATTGCAACTTTTAGGTTTAACATCTCTTATGTCAATGCCACAGGAATTCTGTGTGTGGTCACAGTTATGTGCAAGCATTGTATCCTTGCATTTTAAAATTTTTCAGTTAGAAATTACAGGCAAAATTATTGGGGGAGAATGCCTTCAATTTCATAACATGTTTAACAAAAAGGTGGAGCATTCATCAAGTCAGTGGACTATAAATAAAGTTTATTTCATGCTTCCAGTTTCTACTTTGAACTTATTAAATGGTTCTCCTAGATGCGTGTGCTTCTTCAAAGATGTCAGCAAAAGGCAAATAATGGTTTACGTGCATAAGGGAGAGACTATTTCTGCATTAATACTTTTGTTGAAGAATCTGTGTGACTGCCTCTTCAGCATTTACTCCACGGCTTATGTATTTTATCTATATTGATAGATAAAATGTTATTGTAACTCATCTTAGTGCATGGCAGTTGAAATCCCTCTCATGGTGATGCATATACACCTAAAAATACAGAATTTGCTGAGCTCCAAATTGCATAAACATCCAGTTAGAATGGTTTGGGTTGGAAGGGACCTTAAAAATCATTTAGTTCCAACTCTCCTGCAGGAACTTGGTTCCACTAGACCAAGTTGTTCAAAGCCCCTTCCAACCTGGCCTTGAACACTGCCAGGGATGGGGTATTTACTACTCCTTTGGGCAACCTGTTCCAGCGTCTCACCACTCTCACAGTAAAGAACTTCTTCCTTGTATCTAACCTGAACTTTTGCTGTTTTAAGTTTGAACCCCTTCTCCTCCCTGACGAGTAGTCAATCTCCGGCATCCTTGTAGGCGCGCCCGCGCGCCCACCCCCCCCTTAGATATTGGAAGGCTGTAGATGGTCACTCATGTTTCTGCGGTAACCACCTAAAAACCTGTTGCGCAAATGCCCTTTTACAGCCCAGAGGAGGGCTCCAAGGCTTTTTAAGGCTTCTGACGTAAGGCGTTCGCAGCCAATTCCCGTGCCGGAGCCTGAGGAGCGGGCGGGTTGGCCGCGCCTCACTTGCGAGCCCTCGCTCGCTCTCGATGCTTTCAGTCCCTCTGCCGCTGCCGTAGGGGTACCTTGCGGTTTACCGCCGCCATCGCCATGGATTACCGGGCGCTAGCTATGAGCCAGGCCGTGCCCGGCCAGTTTGATGATGCGGAGTGCTCCGACGGGTAGGAGGACGTGGCGGGAGGGCTGGGTGGGTGTTGGCTTCTTGAGGAGGGGGGACGAGGTCGTACGGGCCTGCCTGGCGTGTCCCGAGCGGTTCCGGCAGGCCCTGCTGGAGCCGCCGGCGTGAGGGGCTGTTCGGGTGCCTCTTCTCCCAGGCGTGGCCGGTTAAAAGCGCCGAGCGGGGAGGGGAGCGCCCGGCGGCAGGGCAGGAGGCCGGGCGGAGGGGGTGGGTATGTTGCGCGAGGTCTGGGAGCATGTGTGAGGAGAGGCTGCGTGCGCGCTCTCAGCTTGCTTTCTCGGTTCCTTGTAATTTTCTGCTTCACCTCTAAAATGGGCAGACGCACCTGCCGGCTCGGGGTACTAGAGGCGATCTCACCTCGGTAGTATTTGATTGTAACTGAGCATGGGAAACAGTGTAAGAGAACAGTGAGTTGCTGAGGACAGCAGATCGGTTTGATTCTTTTTGGAATTAAAGCCCATTTTCTGCTGGACTGAAAGCGTAGAGCTTTTTGTATTTAGCAGGGAGTGAATAAGGAATGGTCTGTGTTATGGGTGCAAGCCGTTTTCTTTCCAGTTTATGATTTACTTAATTAAATGTCACGTACCAGCAGAGAGTCTGCTTTAGAATATACTTGTTCTGGCAGAAGAAAAGTGATGTACTACACTAAGGCCCAAGTAAGTCAAAATGGTTTATTTCTCCCACAGATTCTTATTTAGGTCTAACTGTTTGTTTGTTTGTTTTTGTTATTTAGACTGTGCTGGTGTCCTGCTTTACCAGCAGGTAGTCTGGCTGTCTCTGGTGGACTTTTGTGTGATACTTTGTCAGATGGTGATCTGCTGTGGCAGCAAGCAGAGTGGCTCATCTCTGATGAAGGAGCCAGATCGCCTGATCTAACATGTTTGTCTGATTGGAATCAGAGGGATCTAAATATGTTTAACTGCAGAACAACTTAGAAGGCAGCACTGCTGTGGTGAAGAAGATAATTTAAATGTAGTCCAGCCTTTAAAGGCAGTGACATCCTCGTATATGCTTGCTTTTAGACAGGTGAAGCGAAAAACATCTCATGGAGAGCTAACCTTGTGAAATCGTCTCTTGAGATAAGTGTATTGAAATTCTGATGACTGTAACAAGCGCTTGTACTAATACAAACATCTGTATTTGTTTAAAGTGAATTTGCACAAGAAACAGAAATAGCTGAAGAAGGTGAGGTCACCAACTGCCAGTCAAGCATATGTGAAGAATTTAACACTGAGGAAGGAGATGGTGATGATGACGATGAAGAGGAAGATGAAGACTGGGACTGGGATGATGAAGTGGGAAGACTCACAAAGTGCCACAGTACTGCTGGTGGATGCAATCCTCAGGTGTGTTGAAGGCTACTTTGTGAGTATAAAGGGTGCCTGAGAGCAAATGGGGCTAACCTGAAGGCATTATTCTTCATTAGTATTGTGTTGAGCATAAATTCAAACGGAAAATTTTAGCTTGAGAGAATGCCCTTCCTTTGACTCTTGTTCATCTGCCATGCCATGTGTATATATATGATGTAGCCAGAGCTCTGCTTCATTTCCTTTTCTCAAACTCTATTGCTGGATTCTCTTTGTCATTGCACTTTTCTTTCTGTTCCTTACCTTCTTCAACTTTTCTTTCCTTGCCCGGGCTGATCTCTGCTGATTTTGCTTACCTTTTGATATTTATCCTCTGCGGTTTTCAGCATATTCCTCATCCTTTCTATTTAAAATTAAGACCATACCTGCTTGTTATTAGCTTTTTGTTTCTTCCTCTCATTTTTCTGCTTGCTTCTGTCTGCTCTTTCTCTTCCTGTTACAGATAGGAAAAGTATTAAAGTGAAAGACTTGCAGCTGAATTTCCAGATTAAAAAGAACTCTGAATTGGGGCACTTTTTTTAATATTTAACTGGTGCGTCACCTGTATTTTAATTTCTTGAATTAAATAAAATCTAATGTTAATTCATTGCCTCACCTTTTCTGGTTTTCCTTCTTTAGTTCTAGGAATAGGCATTTGAGCTGATTTTTTTTCCAGTGATGTTGTCTGTATTTAAAAAGGCTATTTAGGAAGGCAACTTACATTAACAAATCCTTTGTTTCAGGCAAATAGACAGACCCCTAGTTGCTATTCAGCAAAAATGTCTACCCCTACAGACAAGGCTTTAAGGAAATTTGAACATAAAATTAATTTAGGTGAGTATAATTGCATTGTTGTCTTTATGAAACCAGATACCTCTCTGTGATATTCTCAGACTAATTTAGCTTACTTTATGCCAGAACTCACTGGAGTGAGTTAACAGTTGTCAAACAGATGAAAAAATGGGGTAGACTTTCTGTGATGAGTGAAGGGGCTGCTGTCCTAGCCAGTGTAGTTTGGTGTTTACCGTGTGATGGAAATGCCAGGTCAGCCTGTTAGGCTGTTAGGGCTAGATGTGACTGGGGGCTTTTGACAGGGTAGTAAGCAGAGGTTGTGTTTTCCTTTATAATGAAGTGGTTCTAAAATGAAGGTTCAAAAGAGTGGTGCTGGTATATATACCAAAATACAGCAGCTTTTATACATTTAGCAATTAATCAAACACCATTTAAAATATATCATGGGGAAAGAATCCTGGAGGCTATTACTTAAAAATTTGCATTTGATTGTGATAAGAAAAAGGAAGAAAACTTTAAAGGTGAAGTGTTATCCAAAGGGCATTACTTCTGGATGGCATTGCATCTCCAGGTCTGTGGGACTGTCTCAGTCATCTGTGTAGACAGAGTGGAAAGTTAGGTTAACTTTAGTATGTAGCTAAGCTTCTGTGCTTGTTACAGAGAGCTCCACCTGTCTTTTAACATTGTTTTGTGGCATATTGACTGGCCACAGAATTATAGGGGCAATTGTTAAACTTATTTGGATTTTTTTTCTTTTATCTTACGTGTTTTTCAGATAAGTTGAATTTTGATGACTCTGTTATAAACAGAGTCACGGAAAAGTCTAGACAGAAGGAAGCAGACATGTGAGTATTATTCGTGGTTCTATTTTCAATCAAATAATTTGAACCCAGAAGAGTAGTTCTTATTTCCTAGTGTGAACCTGAGTTTTGAATAAATTTGTTAAGAAAAACTTAAATCTGTAAGCAGTCTGCATGCAGTTTGCCTTTTGATTTAAATCTTTTGTTTTCCCAGTCAATTGCGTGAATCATTCCAAAGTTTTGATTCTTCTGTTGCTGCTTCTGGTAGCACATCTGATTGTATTGGTGTAGTAAGATGGAAGTGATGGGTGTCATTCCACTAGAAAGAGACTACTTTATTGCTGCTATCCTGTTTCTAAACAGAGGCCCTTAAGATGTTGGGCTAAAAAGGTACTGAAAGCCTTTTCTCTTCCTTCATCATTTCCTTCTGCTGTGATTTGGTGAGGGAAAGGTGGTACTAAGCCTGCAGCTTACAGCCCTAAGTTGTTAAGATGGATACTGTTTTCTCCTGAATAAGCATAGTTCAAAGGAGGCAATAAGATACTATAAGAGTGAAGGGCACTGATGTTTATGGGTTTCTCTCCCTAGTCCCTCTCACCTGCAGGAGAAACCTTTGCTTTTGTATGAACTGAAAGCCTTACTTCTGGAGGCTGTCATCAGTGATAGAGAATGTGATGTTTTACTCTGAAGTACTGAATCCATATGTGGGTTTGTATAATTTTTTTTTCACTTTTGTTAGGTATCGAGTCAAAGACAAGTCAGACAGAGCAACAGTAGAACAGGTAAGTCCCTAATTCATCAAATTTATCTTTTGACTGGAATAAATAATGTGAAATTGTGAAATCAACAGTAAAATGATGTTGAGGTTTAACCCCAGCTGGCAATGAAGTAGACACAGCTGCTTGTTCACTCCTTCTCTGCCCCCTTAATGGGATGGGGAGAAGAATGGGAAAAGATAAAACCTGTGGATTGAGATAAGAAGAGTTTAATAATTGAAATTAAATTAATTATAATAGAAATAATAATAACAATAACAGGAAAAAAAGAGAAGAAGAGGATTAAGATTTGGGAAGCACAAGTGATACACAATACAACTGCTCATCACCTGCTACCCAGCTTGTCCCTGAACAGTGGTCAGTGGCTGCCAGCCAGACTCCACAGTTTAGATGCTGAGCAGAACGATCTCTGGTATGGAATGTCCCTTCGGCTTGTTCAGGTCAGGTGTCCTGCCAATGCTGCCTCCTGGCTTCTTGTGCCCCTCCTGACTGGCAGAGCATGGGAAAATGAGAAGTCCTTTATTTAGAGCAAGCGCTCCTTATTGACAACTAAAACATTGGTGTGTTATCAACATTATTCTCACAGTAAATCCAAAACACAGACCTGTACCAGCTACTATGAAAAAAATGAGCTCTATCCCAGCTGAAACAGGTTATCCTGAACTGACCTGTTTCTTCTTTGTTTCTTGTATGAAGGTTGTACTTGCTTCCATAAACATTTTTAGCTTATTTTTGTGCTTAGCATTATGTTTTGCAAGGCAGAATTCCATCTTAAACTCGTACTAAATTCCAAAGAGCAATAAAGAGATGCTGGGTTTGGGTTTTTTCTTCTTTAGCAAGACTGAAATATTACTGACTGAAGGCCAGAAAGCTGCTCTATCCCAGTTATAATAGCTGTGTATCAAGAGAAAACTTATTTTAACACATTGAATGCAACTGTGGGTGGGGAAATTGTTCTTTTACGTCTCTTCTAGAGGTAGCTCAAGGACATATGCTTAGTTTAAGAAAGAGAAAAGTAATGTTGAAAAAGAAAGTAAAGTATCATTCTAGAATCATGGGAAAATTCAGAGTGGTTGCTGTTTGGATTATCATTTGATCCTTAAGAATAGTCTGATGCCATGGGTCCTTTAATATGGTGCTAAGTCTGGACTGTATTGTTAGGTTTTCTCTTCTTCAAAGACATCCATTGTGCTGACTATTCTGTATTAAATTTGAGGTGTTAGATCCAAGGACCCGGATGATTCTGTTCAAGATGCTAACTAGAGGTGTCATATCAGAAATCAATGGCTGCATCAGCACAGGGAAAGAAGTAAGTTTTATTACAAATGGTATAATAGTCTTAGTAAGCTAAGTAGAAGCTTATGCTGCTCAGATGATGACAGATGAAATACTAGGGTTTAGCACTATTTATTTCTCTGTGTTGCTTGATTGGTAGGAAGTTATGTTAAGATAAAATGCAATTTATATTGTAGAAAACAAGTTTCCCCAAGTATGAAAGATTTCTCAGAATACTTAAATGTTATCTTATATTTGTGGATCTTGTTAATTGTATGCTGCAACTGAAATTTTTTGATGGTTATGTATATATGTACACATGCTGTTAAACAGTGCATAAAAAAAACATACAAAGCCAGGTAGTTCTTTCTTCACGTGAGACTCTCTTACATGCAGATCAGACCGGCTCCACATGTCGGCAGACATGGAAGTATCTAAATGGTGTAACAAAATTCTGTTTAAAATGCTGTTGAATCTTCATTGCTTTTACAAAATGAGCATGTTTGCGTGCTGTTATTATCAAGTAATATTGCAGATAATTAAAACCAGAAAACAAGTTTCCAAGTAAATTAATAAATCAGTCCTAGAATGCTTAGCCACCTGGGCAGATCTGCTTTTCTTCCAAGTCCTTGGATGCTGATTAAAGGCATAATTCCACCCTGTGCAGAGGTGTCAATATGAGGTATTTGGGTTATGCTTTAGAGCCAAAGTAGTGCACCGACTCAAATTAACCCTTTGCACAAGAGCTTGTTTCAGTCTCCAAAATGTGAACGAGGTGGAGTTTTCTTGTGCATTGTTGTTTTTTGTCTCATATGCATTTCACACCCCTACCCAGTCTCATGTACTTCCTGTAAACTGCCCTTGTGCACTCAGCTGGGTGCTATGTAGAGGCTGGGGTGAGATCAGATCATTTTATCAGATCTTTCCCAGGTGTTGGAAAGAGAAAAGGAGAGGTTATCCTGGTTTAAAGAGTTTTTATTTAATGTTATTTCTTCCCTTTATAATTTGATAGGCTAATGTGTATCATGCCAGTACTGCAAGTGGGGAGAACAGAGCAATAAAGATTTACAAAACATCTATCCTGATGTTTAAAGATCGGGATAAGTATGTGAGTGGTGAATTCAGGTGAGTTGATTCCTGCCTGGTTTTACTGGGAAAAAGGCATTGTTTGAAAGGTGGTAAAGTCACTGGTGCTAATACTGCATTGTTTAGCTAAGAGTCCCTGTTGGCTTCTTTATTTAAAGATTTCGTCATGGATATTGTAAAGGCAACCCAAGAAAAATGGTGAAGACATGGGCTGAAAAAGAAATGAGGAATTTAATAAGGTGATTATTCCAGTTTTTATTTGAGCATCAAAAGGTATCTGAAACTTTTAAGTTTATAGGAGGTACTCTCCTATTGCTAGGTTGTGGCTACCTCTACCTTCTAGGTCTCTGGGGTATTCATAAAGTGTCTTAAGCTTCCCTGTGGGGGAGAAAAGAAAGGGGAGGGAGGAATAAAGATACTCCTTTGACTTGCTCTAAGCTTTTCAGTGTCTAAACTCCCAGTTTGATACGACTGAAAAGTGAGGAAAAACTAGAAATAACTGCTGCTGAGGAACGACATGGTGCATGATACAGGTTAATCTAGGATTAACCTGAACTGTGTAAAGATTCTTTGTCTGACACAAGTGTGCTTAGAGAAGGGTCAGAGCCAAAATGGTTGTGGTTTTTTTTCATTTCCTAGTTGTTCTTAACAAATGAGAGTTTCCTGAGTAGAGGAGCTCTTCCTGTGTATGATGCTTAAAGCAACAGAGTTCCTATAGGCAGAAGTGCAATGCAAACAGTAGAGTTCGTTTTAATTTTTCTGTGGCTTTGTTCCTGTGTTACAGGTTGAACACAGCCCAGATACCTTGCCCAGAGCCAATTATGCTAAGAAGTCATGTGCTTCTCATGGGCTTTATTGGTAAAGGTGATAGGTAAGTAACCTTAGAAAATCAAATATTTATTAGTAGTTTTCCACAAAGGTTTCTTAAAACCAAACCAACCAATTCTCTGGCTTTACTTATTATTACTTTAGGCCTATAAAATTAACATGTTACACTTCCATCTGCATGTAACTTTTAGAATACCCAGACATTTGCCACTACTACTGCAGACAATCTACATGATTCTGAAGCCTTGGCTGTGTGTGTAATGAATTCATAAGTAAGCTTACTTGGAGATTAAGACTGGAAAGGTTTGCTAATCATATATAAAGATAGCTCATCATTTTGTAGTACAAACATTTATGTGGCATGGTCCAAATTAACTCACAAAACAGAGCTCCAGCATCTTTGGCAAGCTTATACCGTGCTTTGCTGCTCTTCATGCTGGCTCCATGTACTTAGCTGCTCATACTGACTTGCTTGACACACTGAGCATGAAGATCAGGTACAAGAATTAAAGCATCTGCAGCTGGTATGAAGAAGGAAAAAGTATTCACTTTCTGTTATTTGTATTGTAATTTGAAGGCCTGCTCCTCTGCTGAAGAATGCTCAGTTATCCGACTCCAAAGTTCGGGAGCTGTACCTGCAAATCATCCAATACATGAGAAGAATGTACCAAGATGCCAGACTTGTTCACGCAGATCTCAGTGAATTTAATATGCTGTATGTTTCTAAACTTTGCTCCAAGTTGTGACATCTAAAATGTATGCATTGGCAACATCTAAGTAAGAGTACTAATCTACCTCTGGGGGAGGGTGGGGCCCCTTTTGTGACTTGGTTTTATAACTTAATGAATTATGTAGCTTTTGACCCAGATCTGAGCTTTCTCTGTTTAAAAAAAAAAGCCAACAAACTGCGCACAAAAACACCCCAAAACCCCAGCCAACCACCAAAAAAACCCCAACCCAACTCCAAACAAACAAACAAAGAGGAAAAAAGAAAGCTAAAACCCAACAAACCGCAACCCCCTTGCAAACAAAAACTCTCAACTAGAGAACAAATTAATAAGGTACTTTTATTTTTCCTTTTTCTCCCCCTACTCGTAATGCTGCTTTTTGTGTTCATGGGAAGATGATTTCTTTAAAGTTTAATAATAAAGCTCGTGTAGAGGGTGGGAAAGGTTTGACACAAAAAAAGCCACTTTGGTTCTAATATGTGAGGTGTATGATAGAGAAATATGTTGAGATTGCTGGTTCTTAAGTTTGAAGCACAGTTTGTTCCATGCCCCTTCATAATCTCCCATGTAACAGTGGTTGAGTTAGTGCAGCTCTGCACGTGTTGGATTTTTTTTGTTTTTTGTTTGCAGGTACCACAGTGGGGATGTGTACATCATTGATGTGTCTCAGGCTGTGGAACATGACCACCCACACGCACTGGAGTTCCTGCGTAAGGATTGTGCCAATGTTAATGGTGAGTGGGCTGCACTTCAACTTTGGTTCTGATAGCTGGTTTATTTAGGAAGGTGAACTGTGTTCACCTCTGTTCTTTCAGGTATAACTGACTGTAGAGGCTGTCAAACTTCCATTAAAATACTCCCTCTCCTAGGCTCTCATGACTTCCTCAGGGAGAAATGTACTGGTCCAAGTTCAGAAGAGTGCAGCCTATCCTGCCAGAAATCATCTGCCCAAAGTGAGGTCTGTCCCTGGCAGTGTTGAAGGCCAGGTTGGACAGAGCCTTGGGTGGCATAGTCTAGTGTGAGGCATCCCTGCCCATGGCAGGTGGGTTAGAACTAAATGATCTTAAGGTCATTTCTAACCCTAACTATTCTAAGAGCTCATAAATATGATAGATCTGAGGTCAGTCCCAGTCTGCAGCAGTGCCCACTCCAGTTTTAACTTCCCTTCTTAAAGGACTCTGCCCACTTACTGTGTTTCTTTCTGTGGGTGGAATCCACATCTGAAATTCCTCAGCTGGCAAGAAGTTACCATGCGTTACAAAGTTCCCTGCACTTACTTGTCCAGGTCAGATGAGGGGATCAAGGCTTGGAGTAATTTATTAGAGATGTTATCACTTGTCATAGTATTTTGATAAATAAGGTACCTTCATGGTATTTTTCTCTGGAAAATTTGGTCTTCATGTGTGAATATGCATGTTGTGTAACAGACACACAGCTGGCAGGGTGTGTTTCTCCCTGAGAGCAAGAAGTCTGTCCCTGCGAGCTGTTTTTGGCCCCCCTTTCTTTTACCATTGACTTTTTCCTAATTTTTCAGAGACTTTTGAAAGTCTGTGGGAATAGAACTGTGTGCATTTTGATGCTGTGTGTTTGTTGATAGCCAGTGTGCTTGCTTGTTTTTCCTTGCTCCTTTTCTGTTCATGGATTTCTAATAACCCCCTTCTGGCTCAGATACTTGCACCCTTGCTCTTCTTCATGTCTTTTAGCTTGTTCTTGCTAAGTGTCCTAGCACTTCAGTGAGCTGCAGTGGTTTTGGTGTTTTGTTTGCTTTCTGTCACTGCAACTTTCTCTGCGTAGTCTAGTCCTCCTACGGAGACTGAGAAACACCTTGCTCTGCCCTAGCTGTGATCATTGCAGAGACTTGTGGTTCCATTGGCACAGAGAGCTGCCTCCAAACTAAGTCTTTCTTTGTTCTTTCTGTGATTTAATTTCTCATGGGGAGAAATCTGAGAACTTTAGTGGGATACGCTTATTAAGCGGTATGCAGTGTCTTTCATTACTGTTCTTTAGTGCAAAAGCACAGCCTCTGAATTTGGTTATACTTGAACCAATTCTGAATGTGTTACTGAGGAAAAATCTGGTATGCTAATATCTTCCCTTTTAGGGAAGTCATTAGTCTGTACTGTGTTTCAGTGGGTACTTCTGTTTTACTTTTGTAAAAGCTTGAGGTCTCCATTTGTTATTCTTTGAAATACATTTTTCATCTTAGTCACTGCAAATACTACACCCGTCTTGAATTTTTTACTGCTTAGCCCCTACTCCATTCAGTCTGGCTCCTTGCTGAAATTGATTTGGCTTTTGTATTTATCCAGTTATTCTCCTTTCATTGTTTGTTGCATCTGGAAGATGAACAGTTTTTTTTCAGATGGCCAAGAATCATCTGATAACTAAACCCAATATGGTGCAGTACATGCTGCTGAGACTTCACCAAGTCATCAGGGCTGCTGGCTTGCTGTAACTGTCACTTTAACATCACAGCTGCTTATGTTACATATAATTACTTACCGTGTTTGTCTCTGCCCTTGTTTTCTGGTAGACTTTTTCCAGAAGCACCATGTTGCAGTGATGACTGTGAGGGAGCTGTTTGAGTTTATCACTGATCCTTCTATCACAAGCGAGAACATTGATGACTATCTGTCTAAGGTAAGACCTCATGGCCTTGTTGCTTATGTAGGAGGACATGAACAATAAAATCAGACCTAGTTCAAGGTCCTTCATGTCATGTAGTATTCATCCTGCTATTCAAGGAAGCTGGTACATGACATCATATTATGCTGATCGTATGCAGAAATGCATACAGGTCTTTTCTGTTTATACCATTATAGGATGTCATCACTTTCATTCTATGTTTTCTCTAAATATCTCATCATGAAAACTCAAATGGCTGTTTCAGGTGCTTTAAATTAGTTCTTTCTTGTGGCAACAAGAAGCTCTGCAGAAATATGACCATGCTTATATAGAGAATGGGGTTAAGGATACAAATTTGAGCAGGGTGGGCTGAGGGAGGAAGCAAATGACTCAGGGCAGTGTTACTCCTAGGTATGTGGTCTTGCTAGCCAAATTTATTGGCTGGCAAAACACACTGATTTCAGGAGGTGGAAACCTGCTATCCGCACCCATGTATTTCATCTGTAGCTGTCAATCTTCTGCTCCCAGTTAGATGTTTCTTTAAAAAGGGGGGACTGTGTGTTTGGCAGAGCTTTTTAAATTAACACAAGAGAAATGGCAAACACATATGCTATGTTCAGAGTGAAGATTTGATGTGTCTTTTGTGGTCAAGACCATGTGACTGTGGTCAAAATACCAGTACAGCGTGGAGTTTTCCAGGTGCTCTGTACTTTCTATCATGTTGCGGTTGAACAAAACAGAGCTGTGCTGTGTCGTCTTGCTTGCTCCATGTGTGTGAGAAGAGCCAAGTTCCAGGACTGAACGCTGCTCACTGTATTCTCCTTGGACTGGTATGTCCTGTAGTCATGCTGAGCCTGCCATAATTCGGTCCGGGAGGAGCAGCAAGCATGTTTTCCTTCTTAATGGAGCAGATCTGCAGCTTCAAGTGTGCTTCGTAGAAACGTTGCTTACCACTAGGTGTCGCTCAAGGCATTGCCATAGGGGAGGCTGGAGTATTTGTGAGTGACAGCGTGGATGGGATACAGGGAGAAACACAGATGGGAATGGTTAACTGGCTTAAGTGATGCGATTCTAGAGTGATGACTTTGTATTGTTTTATGTTTCTTTAGGCAATGGAAATAGCATCCAAAAGAACAGAGGAGGAAAGATCCAGCCAGGATAAAGTGGATGAGGAAGTAAGTGAGGATTTTTGCTACAAAATTAATATTTACGTTGCCTTTTCTAAACAATTAAAAATGTCCTCTTCTATTTGGCAAAGTGTACCGTTGATAAGCAAATCGCTGTTTGTGATAGAGATGTCTTGAGCTAGTTGAGATGTGAAGCATTAAGAGATGCCCTGTGTAAAACCTGACAATGATAAGGTTTTGGAAGGCAAATATTCCATTTCCTAAACCAGTGTTTGCATGAAGCTAGGTCCCTTGATATATTTCCCAATTCATGTTCAGTTAATGAAAAAACTGGAGTGGATAGATGTGATTTGCAGGTGGTTTTAGACCAGTGATTCAGAAGCAGGATATTTGGATGTGTGCATTGACCAAATTGTCTACCTAGGTCCAGGCCCAGTCCAATTCAGTTCTTCCATGTACTGATTCTCTCTTTTACTTTTACAGTAAGTGAAGCCTTTTCAAGTCCATTACAGAAAACTGCTAACATTCTGAAAAGGCTTGATGTAAAGCAAAACAATTTCTATCTTTGTCTTATGTGTGTTTCGGAAAAGTTTTTCCTTTCTCCCAAACGAAACAAACAAAAAACCCCCAGCCAACTCTGTGTTGAGCAGAATTTGTATCACTGAGAACTTATTTGTACTGGTTCACATGGAGAATATCTTTGGAGTCAATGCTGCTTGTTTTATCAGAGACGTTTCTTTTTCTCTTGGAGCTCTGCAGGTTTTACTAACTGCTGCTGGCTCAAGCTTGGCCAAGGAAAGATTTTTTTGGTTTGTTTCTTAAGCATACAACTTCTGAACTCTAGGCTCAGATACTTAGACTTCTCATGTGACCATGGCTAGCTTGTGCTACTCCCTTCATCACAAGAGTAGAGCTGATTAAGGGCAAGCTCTGTGGAGGTTGAAGTCTCTGCTTTTTTGCACAGCACTTAGTCTAGCAGCTATGATCGTAAAGCGTACTGAGTTTCTACTGGAACTGAACTGATGCCGTGAAGAAGAGAAGCAAAATACCCCCTCTGATCTGGTAGTGACTTAAGTTTGCTGGAGGACTGTTTCAGAAAGAGTGCATGACAAATTTTAAATGTGGTGGTGTTCATACTGCAGTTAGGTTTTACCATACTGTACTGCTGCAGGAACCTTTTGTGAGTTGGATTGTAGGTTGTAGCAGGTATTGTTATATAAAGAGATCAAGTTCTAACAGTGCATTTTAATGGAGTTTCCTCCTGAAGGCATCGTAAACATCACAATAAAAACATTAGAGGAAATCCTTAAAATATAAAATATGGCTCAAGTTGAGAGGAAGTTGGAAGGATTGGAGAAGTTTGTAAGTGCCTGGTGGTAGTCATGATAAGAAAGCAGCCTTTAGTCATCATCTATCAATAATATGTAGCTGGCATGATAAGTCCTCTCTTGCAAAAAACAGATAGTCTGTATTTTTAGTTTCTCTGAGCCATGAAATCGTTCATGATTATTCTCTTAAGGATGCACAATTAGGAGGAAAGAACATCATGAAACTATATGTAAATTAGAGAGCCTGTGTTTCCTTTCCCTCTACTAGGTGTTTAAGAAGGCTTACATACCTCGAACTTTGACCGATGTTAAAAACTATGAGAGAGATGTGGATATAATGATGAAATTGAAAGAAGAGGACATGGCACTGAATGTTCAGCAAGATAATGTAAGTAGACATGCTGAGACACTGTAAAAAAGAGGGAGGGAATATGGAGAATTCTTACTGGAAACTGATAGCAACAAACAAAACCAGAAGCCTTGTTACCAAGGTGTGGAGTACTGAATCTAGTGCCATACTTTAAAATCCCCTGGTTAGGCTCGTATTTTGATGATGTAATTTTCTTTCTCTCTCCCTGGTTGTAGATTCTCTACCAGACTGTGACGGGACTGAAGAAGGATTTGTCTGGTGTTCAGGAGGTAAGAGGGTCTTTTTGAAAGCCTTAATTTTAGCTGTTCTCAGAAAAGCACTTTCAGGGACCACAGTGAATGCCTTGTCTTGCAGCTGGCATCAAGAAAGAAGCCTCTTGTCTGCAAAGTGACCAGACAGTGTGTCTGCACCTCATGAATTGCTTCCGTGCACTGTGGCTGATGATGGGTTGCTTAAGAATGAAATGATAATCCTTACTATGGCCATGATGTTTAAGGTGGAGAGGAGGGCAGATATTTTCCAGTTATGGAAAACTTAATTGATTTAAATTGTAGCATGACTGCAAGTGTTTTTATGTTCAGGGTAGCTTTGTTGTAATTACTGTGTGTCCTGAGTTCAAAGAACAACCCTGCAATATAAGGTGTAAGATATTATGCCTTACTATGTTTGAAGTACTTGACAGTGACACTTCTGTAAAGCATGTTGGATAAGAAGTTGGGTACAAATTAGTTTGTAGCAATTAAATTAAAGGCAGAAGCCCTGTGTGGATTCTCCTCTGTAAATGTTCTGATATATAAAAATGTATGGGATCAGGCTGTGGCACAGTGAATCAAATGAATTTTCCAGTGTAGATATGTGTGCTCACAATAGAGTGTACATACAGTGCCCCCAAGGTAGATTTGGGTATAATCCAGGCATGATTTAAAATTGGCTTCCACATATGTTAGCAAATCGCTGATTAACTTATGGAAATTAGTTTGGAAGTGCCAATACAGCTGCAGTGTGATCCCTGACCTAAAAATCTGTGTTGCACATTCTAGATTCTTTGTTCTTAGTTTGGATTAACCTACTTTTCATTCTTTTTCTTGAGACTTGGGTGATGGCTATAGTAAAGGAGAGCAGACAAGCTTGCTCAAGCATTTCTTTGCAGCAGATTCTGGTTTGGGTTTTTTATGTATATAGTGTCTATGTGTCTATATATTGTCATTAGTCTTTTTTTTGTTTGATACAATTCTCTTTTGATATATATTACAGATTCCTGCCCTTCTTGAAAAGAAGGCAGATGTGTCAGAAACAGACTCTGATGATGATGGCAGCTCAGAGTACCCTGATTCAGGCTGTAAAGAATCTGTACATCCCAAAGATAAACCTGCTGAAGTTGGCATGGATAAAAAGGTCGGCGGTCCAGGAATTGTTGACTTTTTCCCCACTTCTGCTGATGTGATAGGAAAAAAATATGAACGTAGTTCTGAGTGGTCCTTGCTACTTCTTGTCTGAAGCAAATTATGCATGTTTCGTGTTGTGCAGAATGAGAGCAGAGAAAGTGAATTTCATTGTGCATGCTTTTATTACTATGTTTTTTTAACGTAGAGGAACATATAACATAGCTCTCTGTAGCCTAGACAAAGCTAGAAGAGAGATCTCTGGAGGGAATTCTAAGGGTACACAAAGCAGAACTTAGTGAAGCCTGGGCAATTTTTCAGTGCCTCTGGCTACTCTTCCAGGCTTTGCTGTTCAGGTTTGTGGTCCCTGATTAAACTCCTTATGCCCAGGGAGCCGAGCCCAGTTGATCTGTAGAACTGGAGACTTGATGACAATGTTTGTACCACAGTGGCTTTTGCAGTACCATTAGTAGAGACTGGCTAGCTTTGCTGTGGGCAAGAGATGTAACACAATCATGCAAAGGGCTTATGGTTTGGGTTTGGTGTTTTTTTTTTTAAGGTTTTATTTTCCAAAATGCAGAACAAGTATGCTCTGTTTTCATGAGGCTTTTCTGCAGAGTATCAGCCATGGGTGAGAGGTTTTTGGCAGCTTTTTAGGTGCTCTGCAAAAGAAGGATGAAACTTGCTGGGCTTAACGGGTTCAAGATTTGGGTGTTTGCTTGTTAGGCTTTTCTTCCTAGGAAAGGTAGGCTAATTCATTCCATATCTGTGAGATAAAAATGTAGTGCTCTACTGGAGACTTTCTGTCAATCTAGAGCTCCTGCCTTTCAGATACGAAGCAGGCAAGTCTTGATCATTTCCCATCTTATAGGTGGGTTTTCATTTGGACTTCTTTTTGAGTAAGATGAGTTTTTTGGTAACCTGTGTGTTCAGTTGTAGGTTGAACAACTGATTAGCAGCAATTACTCTGATCCCCAAGTCGTATTAGGCTGACTTGGTGTTTTCTAGTTGAGTGTAGTCTATTTACTGTCTGGCACAAATTATAGTATATTGCAGTAGCATAGCACCTTTTCTTGACAATCTTGATGATGATCAGCTTGTTCTGAGTTACCCGTAGTTACTGGGTCAGTGTTTTTGCATAACATATAGAAACACAGTAGTCCTGTGGGTAGCAGAAAACTTAGATCAGGCATCCTGTTGTAATCTTCGGTGTAAATAGCATGAGTTAAGAGTGTCTTTTGTTCCCTTTCTTCAAAGGTCACTTGAAGCTCAGGTTTTAACTAGTTTGAATTTTGCTTTGCCATTACCAGTGTGCAGTTTGTAGCTCCACCTCCAAACTGTACTTCCTTTTTTCTTTCCCCTCACCATTCCTTATTGACTTTATTTTAGTTTTTATTTCTTCCTGTTAACCTCACTTTTATGTGGTGTGTTAACTAACTTGTTAATATAACAATTGATTGACCTGCTCAAAAATCTCTCTTTTTCTTCTGGCTTTAAATGATTGCTGTTTGGCTCTTTATAGGAAAGGAAAAAGATGGTTAAAGAAGCCCAAAGAGAGAAGAGAAAAAACAAAATCCCAAAGCATGTGAAGAAGCGGAAAGAAAAGACTGCAAAAATGAAGAAAGGCAAATAAAGTCAGCTTTGGCTTGGGGAAAGGGATGGTTTGTTGTGGGTTATTTAGTCACCATCTTTTTAAAAATTAAAAATCCTTTATTTATATACATACAGTATTAATTCTGAGAGTGATTTTGTTAATAACATGGTGTAATTGTTTGAACAGAGTAGTATGCTATTGTTTTTTTCAAAGGAAAGAGCGAGTTTAACACTTGTGCATGTTAAAATCCTTTGCCTATGCAGGTTTAACCTGTTGTTAAACTCACATTGCTTTGTTCCTGGGGTCTTTCCCCTGCCTCACACTGCATACAAGCTAGTTCAGTTTGTTCCAGAGCAGAGTGCTGTTCAAAAATTGAGTTCAAACAGATTTCTGGAGGAGGAGGAATGGCTGTTCAAAGGCCCATGCCTTCTTTGCTGTATGGAAGCAAATTTTGTTAGCTGTCTTCTGCAGTCACCTGTGGATAACCGTCCTGACATTGTGCCTTTGCTGCCTCCCTGTGCTTGCATTACCTTTGACATTTTCTTACTGAAAGCTGAGTTTTGTGATTTGGGAGGCAGCTGTCCTCATTGCCCTGTGCCCTTCTGAAGCTGTCATCAGGTGGACTCAAACAGACCAAAGCCCGATGATCTTTTCTTTTTTCCTTGGATCACAACATAGGGTACTCCTTCTCTTAAAAATATTATGATCTAATTATTTTGTGAGCTGGTCAGATGGATGTTTGCTGTCAAGATTAGTCATGTATGTTTGAATTCAAGGCTGTCTGAAGTCTTGTGACAGGATCTCTCTATGGTATGGCTCAGCATTACCAGTCCATGTTGTACTGAGGTGCCTCAGCTCTTCAGTAGGGAGAATTTGGCAGACTCACTTGGGCTGAGGCACAGGTGCTGTACTGAAGACAGGCCACCTCTCTTGGCAGCCTCTTTGGCTACTGAGGTTGACAAGTCTTGGGAGAGGTGTCCTCTCCATGCTGTAGCACATCAGCTTCCTTCTCCCACTGCTTGTAGTTTCAGAACTCCCTGTGCCAGCACAGAGGAAGGTTCTGATTCCAGTATGTATCTTGATATTTGCGTTATCCCACGTTTGGGGTGGAGTTGATGACCTTAGGGGTTTATGCTTGCAGGACATGCATCCTCTGTTGACAGAGGACAGCTTTTATCGATCAATGGATATCCAGCAATGATGGGTTGGTCAGGGATATTTTGAAGCTTCCTTCTCTCTGCTCCTCAACTCCCTCACCCAAAAGAGAGATGATGTTGTCCAATGGCACATGTGGTTTATTCCCCAGTGTGACCTTCACATCCTCTTTGGCTAGAAACCTGGTGAGAGAGAAACTGATCATCACTCTCTCTCTGCTCCCTTTCTCCCTATCCATACAAGGATTTACAGCACTCTCGTGTATAGTATTCATTAAGTGTAGGCAGTATTGCTGGAGCATGTTGGGAAGCAAGACTGGTATTTCCTCATCAAGTGGGGATGTTTGTTGGGAGACTGAGATGAAATACCTGTTTTGGAAAATGGCATTACATCAGGTGTAAGAAAGGGGGCAGCCTCTGACTTGGTAGTGAAGGGAGGAGGAGCTGCAAGACCTGCATTCAGAGGTGAGGGAGTGCTGTTGATGGCTGTTTGTCTTAATGCCGAGGGCTGAGATGCCGCTAGATGTATGGCATTATTTCCTGCTTTTCCTTGCTCACATGGAAGCTTGTGTAGTGACATAGTCAGGCAGAGGTGGCCTTGGTAATGGCTGCCCTGAGCCTGACTGGTTGTGTTCATAGGTGCAGTGCTGAAGGTGACTGAAACAATAATAGTTTTGTGTGCTTTTGTCCTTGAAATCCCATTGTATTGAGGATTATTCCTGCTGACTGACAGGTTATGGTGTGTGCATCTGTGATGGCAGTTGTGGTTCATAAAGGTGTGTGCGCCAGGAAGTGTATGTAAGGGTTAGGGGGAGGCTGTGTCCAAGCTGTTGCCTTCCTCCAGCAACAGGTTGTCCGTTGAGCAGACCTTAGTGTTTTTGGTGAAGTGGGCTAAGTACACGTGAATCTCTAAGAAGCTTCATGTAGCCCAGCAGTGGGTGATTCTACCAGGAAACTGGTCTATGGCTGATCAGTGTGAGTCAGGGGCTGTCAGACACAAGACACAGTAACCCTTTCATTTGGGTTGGCTGCTCTGAAGACAAGGGTAGATGCTAGTTCTTGGCAAAGTGGCTGGAAGCCCCCAGAGCCCAAGTGGGCGTCCCCCTGTAGAGGGTTTACCTCCTTTACCTGAGGAGGCACTTCAGAGAAAGGAGGCTGCTATCATCTGTGCTTGAGGAAACATCCCAGCCCACGTAACTTTGTCTACCCCTAGGCTATACACCACAGCCTGATCAAGTTTGCCTGGCTCTAGCCATTCTGTCACATGAAGGTGGTCCTAAATCAGCCATCTAAGATTGCAGCCTTGCTTGCAGTGAAGTGCAGCAGGACTGTCTGTGCTGGCTGTGCAAGTAGGACCTATCTGCTGCCTCAGGTGTTTCTCTAGGGCATGTTTACATAGTCAGGGTGTTCGCAGAGCACCTGAGGTGGAACATGCCAGAAAAGCCCATGTCCAAGTGCAGATGGCCTGGGGATAACTGTTGCAGCTGGGTATGTGCTTGTTAATGTGGGTGGTGAGGGTAGTTCATGTGTCCTGGCCATTGCAGGCTTGAGATGTATCAAAGTGAGGCAGTCCACAAGAATGGGAGCTCTTTGGGCCAAGACCCTGAGATGAACCATCTGTCTGGTGGTGGCTGAAGCAACAGAATGGTCATTAAGAAATGTTAGACACAACTACCAAAAGGCACTGGGCTGATAGGGGAGGATGTGGATGGGATGGCATGGCTTCGTATCTTGTGCAAAAGAAAAAGCTTCCAAGTTCAAAGCAGCAGAGATGCTCAGTTATGCTCTATTGATATCAATATATGATGGGGTAGGGTTTTTTTCCCCTCCCCACAGGTATTAGGATCTGACAAGGCCCACACATTTTGTTTGCCATACCAGCATGTTTACAGTGTGCCCTGCTGCTGGCAGCTGTGTGGACAGAGTAGTTTTGCCAGGGCAGGAATGCCAGTAGCTTGTGTAAGAACATCAAATTCTCAGGCGCAGGTCAGATGCTTGGAAAAATGCACTTCTGGGAATTTGCAGCCAAAGGATTTAGTGATATTTGAAAGCTTAAGTATGTGGAGTGGGAGTATTTATAACTATCAAAGATAAAAACATACAAAAGCAATTAAACCTATCTTCCAGGGCGTCCCCAAGTAGTCCCATCTTCCCAGTCATTCACTAGGACTCAGTGGGAGAGGGCTGGGGGGTAGGACTGGGAGGGAGATCCTCCTAGCTAAGATATGCTTAGCTGCAAACAAATTCATCAGTGAGGTGGTGGAGTTTTCACCTCCCATCTCCTTGAAGTCCCACAGTACCATATGGCTGGTTTGCAACTCTGAGCAGTTGGCATCAGGCTTCGTCTTGGTTCCGAGGTCTGTGACAGGTATGAATTTGTTGTTTCTCCCACACTATATATTATATGTAGCAAGAGGAACATTGAAAGGTGGAGTTCTGCAGATTTGGTTTCCCCATGATGAAGCCAGTAAAACCAGCTTTGTGCATAAGGATATGTCTCCTTAGAGGGTTTTAATTTCTGTGCTGAAATATTTTGATTAAACAATGCAAAACTAGCTGTGGCAGGCTGCATGCTTGCTTTTGGCATGTGTGCTCAGGCAAGAGTCACACCTGCGCTCCTTCCAAGATACAAAAGCAGCAAAGCCAACGTTTTCTGAGGACCAATATGTCCTGCAGTTTGTGGTCCAAAGCTAGTGGAGAAGCTAATGATGAAGGGGTGCAAAGGCGAGAGGTGGATTCCAGAATACTGGGCTGCTTACCTGGTTCTCCAGCTGAATCTTTACCTGCTATTTTCACCTGCAGAATTGTATAGCCAGTTGGAGTATGATACTGTAAATGTGATGTACAGATACAGGACATGGCAGGTGCTTTGCCTCTGTGTACCCTTCACTCTGGGCTTCTCCCCCAGGGTGTGCTTGCGGAATGATGGGGGACTACTGGGGTGGGAAAGTGTGTAGGGGTCTCTTGGCTGGTTACAGGGACCTGCCTGTCATCACCCCTTCCCACCAAAGAAATTGAAGGATTTGGGCACTTGGTGAGTGAAGAAGGACCTAAAGAAACTTTTGTCACTCTCAATGAAGTTTTAATGTGTTCTGTAGCAAACAGCTTCGCAGATTGTTTAAATGCAAAAAGCTAATTGAGAATTTACTTTCTAAGGCATTGCTGCTAAAATGAATACGCAACTTTTTAACTCTGCTGTTCTTACAGGCGTAATTTTGGTCCTTCTAAAACCCTGCTAGACAAATTTTCAAAGCAAAACCTGACCCTCTGCCTTAGCATCTCTTTAATTTTCCTGATCTTGGCATAAATCTTGTGTTCCTTGTGCTAGTTTTCATCTCCTCTAGGGGGAGAAGTAAGTTCTTGCTTAGACTATGTTGGACTTCCTTAATACATATAAAGTGCTACTGATATTTCAGTTCTCTACATAACTTTCTATAAATGCTGTTGAGTTTTCACATGGCATCTAGACTGCATATGTAGTTTTTGGAGAAAGTTTTGTACTTTCTGAGGTGCTGGGGTTTAATTTATTCTGGGCTGGGACAGGCAGGGGCTGCAGTAATACTATTAGTGCTGGGTTTAGGATGAGGTTCTAGATGGCACATGACAACACCAAGGGATGCTCCCCCCCCACCCCCTGTAGGTATGAAGGCTTCTTGTGAGAATCTACAAAATGGTAAGGATGCTGTTCTACAATTGTCCAAATTCACAGGCATAAACACCTTTTGTGTAATGCAGTAGTTAGCAATTGTTTTGCCACAGTAACTAGCCCTAAACACAGTCTGAGTTGAAGCTTCTCTTCCCCCCCACTCCCCAGCTGTTTTACTTTCGAAGGATTGACGTAAGAACAAACTTGGCCCTTTTTCCTGATGTTCAGCAGCCTGCCTCTGACTTCTACAGCCTGTGCAGATCTGTAAGGTCTCCTAAGCAACAATGTGAATGCTAGACCTAGCCTACAGCACTAGATTTAAGACATTC